CTTGATCTACCCTCAAATTCCAATCATCAATCTCGTCATTTCCGCCCTCCCTTTTGAAAGAGCCATGGCTCCTCCAGCTGATTTTGCCAACTATCCTGATGTCGTCCAGGGGCCGGACACGGGGTATGATCAGCGGGTAGACCACAACCCGGTGCTTCGGGGCTTGCCTCTCGTCGTGGGCGCTGAGATGTATGTCATCACTCTTTCATTGCATGAGACATGTGGCTGACTCTTCTTGATCTCACTGCAAGTGTGGCCCGGAGCGGCTTCATCTCAAGATATCTGCTCAATAACTCGGGCATCACCAAGATCAAGGACATGCCAGAGCTGGACCATGTCATGCCTACTTTCCACGTATGCCCTCATCAACTTTCATTTCACCCCCTTCATAACCCGGTTTCAATGTGAGACAACAGGCTGATGAGACCCTGCAGCCCACGGTGACGCCCCTCGGCCCAACAGGCCCAATGCTCGAATTCGAGCCCGAACTCCTCACATCCAAGCACGCCTCCTCAAAGTCGCCCCGGTACTACTCCGCAGCCGACTACCACGCCATGTACAAGAGCGGCGCCCTCACCCCCCTCCAAGTCGTCGAGACCCTCCTCGACCTGACCACCGGCGGAGGCAAGTACAACGACGCCTGGGCGGACGCCCACGGCGCCGAGCGGCTCGCCGTCGAGGCGGCCAAGGCGTCGACGGAGCGGTGGGCCGCGGGGGCGCCGCTCGGCGTGCTGGACGGCGTGCCGGTGGGCGTCAAGGATGACACGGACGTTAAGGGGTATGTCAACCACTACGGCATGAAGTACGACGGCTCGCTGCCGGCGTTTGCGGTGTGCGAGGAGACGGCGTGGCCGGTGAGGAAGCTGCAGGAGGCTGGGGCTATTGTGCTGGGGAAGAATAAGATGCATGAGCTGGGATCAGGTATAGTTGAAGAAGCGAGGCCCCTCCATGTTTGGAGCATAATGAAGTGCTGACGATGCTGTTTACGCAGATACGAGTGGCCTGAACGTAAGTCTTCTCTACTCATAGCACATGCCCTGTCACATCATATCACATCACATGCAATCAAGCCTGATCTATACTGACCCTCGATAACGCACAGGTCGTCCAAGGAACGCCCACAAACCACCTCAACAACGCCTACTACCCCGGCGGCTCCTCCAACGGCGCCGGGTCCTCCCTCTCGGCCGGCATCGTGCCCATCTGCGTCGGCACCGACGCCGGCGGCAGCATCCGCGTGCCCGCAAACTTCAACGGCGTCTACGGCCTCAAGCCCAGCCACCACCGCACCACGGCCATGGAGGGCACCGTCTGCGTCACGGGGCCCCTCGCCGCCACCGCCGCCGACCTGACCATCGCCTACCGCCTCATGGCCCAGCCCGACCCGTCCTGTCCCACGCAGGCCCGCTTCGCCCTCTCCCTGCCGCCACCAGCCTTCGATGACCCGGGAAGAAGCAGCGGCCGCGTCATGGGCGTCTTCCGCGACTGGTACAACAAGGCCGACGCTCCCGTGCGGGACATCTGCGACCGCGCCCTCGACCACTTCGCCTCACAGCGCGGCTACCACATC